GTAGAGACCAAGACATCGAGCTTACGGCGTCTCTCTTGGCCCCCTTGCCTCGGGTTGTTGACTAAGGACCTGTCTGTGTGCCTGCGACAGTCGTGACGTGTCTGAGTTTTCCAAATCTCTCAGTTTGGAAAGTGCAACTCCTGTCTGCATAGAAAGATCGGTTTTGCTTGGAAACTGAGTTTGAAGGAATCCGGTACTGCTTCACGTGTCGCCAGGATTGTCCGGGATCAAAACCATCACCTATATAAATACCGCGCAACTGGGGGGATGAATTCCATCCATACGCTTGAATCAAAAGCTATATATCCTATAGAATACCTGAATACCATGTTTGGGAGAATGGACATCCACAAATCCCAGCGAATTTCCTGTGAGCCGCCCATCCGCCTCACAAAGCATCCGACAGCGATGGTCCAGCGAAGCATTTTCCTCCTGGGTGATACCTTGACCGGTCGGACCGACTGGTGTTGTCCAACCCAATAAATCATGGCAAGCTGGGAAATCCATGGAAATCCCCAGCTACATCCCAATCGAAATGGTGGTTTCCAAGTTTAATTACTGGAAACCACTAGGGGATTGCCAGGTGGTTGGAGTCCTAGATGATCAATCGACCAACGGCCACGTCAGCACACGTCATTTCAGAAGAAACTGCCGAAAAAATAAATGGATGAGCCAACTGAGGCCATCATCCATGTTGCGCTTTATTGAAACAGGAATGGATTCAAATCCAAGGTTGCAGAGCTGCAGCAGCTAGATCCTGTGGGGTGTCATGTCAAAGCAGTCAAAGCCTAAATTAACAACCCCCTAAGCTCTTTAATTTGGAGGTACCATGTAATTAAGTACCAGATTGTCCTGATTCTGGGGAGGTACTCCTTACTTAGTCAATCAACCTGGTCAATCCCAGGGTTGACACTATCCCATTCTTTGGCGGGACCGCCACGATCCTCTGATTAGTCAGGACTAGGTCTGAGACCAAAGGAGCTGTAGTCGAACTCAAGGGCAATGTCCTTGCAGTCTCTGTTTCACACACATCTGACCCAAGTCAGGATATGAACCAAAATTGAGGTATGCAAATCAAACAGAAACGGCTGGAAATGTATTGTGAAAATGACAAGCGAATCGGATCCAAAAGATTCAACCTGAGTGGAGGGGTTTTCCAGGACAAGAAAGAGTTGGATGCAAACCAACAAAAATTGGGACGAGTTTTGCAAGAAAATTGGTGTTTCTGTCATCATTGTCATCTAGTAAATATAATGGTTTTGAGGGTTCATCCTCTCAGATATGTGTTAGATTATCCTGCTGCATCTTCCATTTTCCCACGCGAAAACCAACAGCATCTGCAGGAAAGTCACATAGCTCGTGTACAGGACGTTCAAGTGTTTGGTGTACCTCGTTGCAAGAGTCCGAGGCGTTCAAGAAGCCAACAACTTCAGGCACAACAGGTAGAACCACAGAACCGTTGTTTATTTTGTGCTCAAATGTGAATCAACCCAATCCAACTTCTTTTTTGCATTTGGCTCGGGGTCACTTTAGTGAAAATCATCCAAAATCTAAATGGATCTAAATGTGACATACCAAACATCGCCAAATCTATGGGTTTGGCACATCCATTTCAGCCGCGACCAGTCCCCATTCCGAGGTGCAGTTTGAGATTGTCGACATCACCGTCCTGGAGATTTTTCAGAGGCGGTTTTCGAGTTCTGGGGGTAGCCCTAATCCTACCATCTGGTTATTTAACATAGCCATGGAAAATCACCATTTTCAATAGGTAACCAATCTATAAATCGGCCGTTTTCAAATGGCTATGTTAAATAACCAGAGGGTAATAGAATTGCCAAGTTCCACCAGTTCCACCATAGTGTCATCATGGAGCCTTCCCAGGCCCTTCCACCCTGGCATTGGAAGCGATGCAAAAAAAAGGGGTCCTCGGAGTAGTACTCTGAGAGATCCCATTTGGCGCCAAAGAACTGCAGGTCCTTGAGGTCCCTGGCGCCACAGCAGTTTCGGTCAGGAACAGCCAGCCAGCAACGCCCCCAAGAAATTGGCTTGCAATACAGCATATGATTATACTATATATGTATACGTATACTTATACACATACACATACACATACACATACATATACATATACATATATATAATTATATATATATATGTATAATCTATGTAATCTATATAATCTATGATTCTCCCAATCAATGCCCGCGACAGCACCTGCCATTGGTTCCTTTGGGCGGTGGCGCTTTGATTGGCGCTGCGGTGTCCAAGCCGCCCAGAAGGCAGCCCTGGCGGCTGAGGGGTTTGCCAGTGAACCTATATAACTGGGGTTACCCTCTGATAAACTACCATAACTATGGAAAATCACCATTTTTCATGGGTAAATCCACTATTTCTATGGCCATGTTCAATAGCTATGTTAGTCATTACCAGAGGGTATGTCCCGGGTTGTGTCCCACACTTCACTGGGTTGTCAGAATGGTTCTTACTCACTTACCTCCAAGATCATTCAAGTAGGCAAAACCAAAGCTTGGAATTTTCCGCCCTCGATCCATCCCCTCCCAGCTTTAAATGAAGCCGTCTCGAAGTTGTGAGCCATAATGGTTTGGAGCTGGCCACTGGAAAATCCCAATAACCCTTGATGAATACACCTTTCAAATATATGTGGGTTTGTCTAACAATAGGTACCCCAATTCCATGATCATTTCATGTTTCCCCAGGGAAATCGCCATACATTGGGGTATTTAAACACCATTTCTGGACGTTTTTTTCATCCCAATCATACAAACGTCCAGCGAAGCAGTCATGATGAGCATTACTTGAGAAGTGCCTCTGCTTAGGGTTGCCAATTATATCAATGATGATGCCAAAGCCCTGTAAATGATGCCAATGCGTCCTTTGAAAATGGGGGGAGAACCGTCATTGTCTTGTTTTTCTTGGCACAAAGATTAACTTGAACTTGGAAACCCTGTTCTCATTTTGTGACTTATGATTGAAATGTGTATTGGATTTGGGAGACTCCAAACCAATGGTCGCATGATAAGAAATCCTGCCAACTTGCAGCGGCTTCTACCTCCCTTACCTTTAGATCAACATGGATCAATCATAATTTATCAATATAGCTCATTATATATATATATGTGTTATATGTATATACGATGTATGATTACCTAAATATTCATCCATTAAATTTGCCATAAAATCATCATTTATGACATCATTAAACCTCTGGGTTGCCTGCAAAGAAACGTCGATGCAGTCCCCATCTTCGCACCTCTAGAGGAGTCGCAATGTGATCACCGCGTGGCAGAGAAGGGAGTTCACACCGCTGTGCTACCTTTGGGCCACGCCAATGGGACAAACTGACAAAAAATGACAAAGTGTCATGACTGTGATGACTGTGGCATCTGGAAACAAAAACTGGAAAAAACTTTAAACAAAAAAAGGCAGAAAAACGAAAAAACCAAAGAAACATTAGAAAAAGTGAAAAAAAAATGGGAACAAAAACTAGAGAAGGCCAGTTACACAAAGGCACCAATTCACTCAAATCACCTTAGGACTTGGCTACTTTCACAGGCTCCCCCTGCAAATAACTGAGAGCGGCCTGGAGACGGCGGTGATCACAAGGCTTGATAGGGAAACCACAGGAAACCAAGGATTTTTAATAGGGTAAACCGGGGAAACCATGGAAAACCCCAATGGTGAAATGGGATGCCAGTTTTTTGAAGCACCCTATAATCTATTATAAGTTAACAAGTATCTACAAATCCAGAAAATGCATGAAATTGCCGTATCTTGACATCTGATTAACTTTCCAGAGATCTACAAGGGAGCAATGTGTAATCCGTCGCCAGTTGCAGAAAACCTCCAACAAAATGCCAGCGCTTGAGGCAGCGGTCCTGTTTGATGTAGCTAAAGGGGACCTCATCGCAAAAGCTCACGTCACCTCAAGACAAACGTCACTGGGATGACTTCCAGGGAAGGCACGGCGGGCCAGAAGAGCATCTCCAAAAAAACAGGGCTTTGGCATCGGAATCATGAGGCGTGAAGCAGCAAAAACGGTAGTTATGAACACGTGTGAACATCATCTGAACATAAGTGAACAAGCAATCACACACGGTTGTGTGTCCTCAACTTCTGGATCTCAAGAGGTTCCTGATAAGTTTGATATACCCTCTGGTAAACATACAAAAAACTATGGAAAATCACCATTTTTAATGGGAAAACTCACTATAAATGGCCATTTTCAATAGCTATGTTAAATTACCAGAGGGTAGTTTGATGGTATTGTCGTTGTTCAACGAGCTCATCGAGGCGTTGAGCATCCTGCCATCAGCTTGCGAAGCTCCCGATCTGAGTTCGCGCAGTCGCGCCTCGAACCTGGATCATCTCAGCATGAATAGACATGGGTTTTCACTGCAAAATAGCTGGAATTTGTGGATGTTCATCCCTCTAAAGTTTGGCAGTTTGGGTTGTGAATCGTCTTGATATGTTTTGAATTGTTTTGATTCATCCCCAAATCAGAAAACCACCAAACACTTTTAACGCAAAATGGAGGGGGTCTGGAATCTTCGTTGCAGCCAAGCGGCCACTGGTGCAGGGCAGGTGGAATGCTAAGGACATCCTGCGGCAGTTGACTGATCAGCAACTGTCCTCACGCCCACTAGGCCACCAGCCACCTTCGGTCACCTTCAGCCTGTGACAGCCTTTTGCGCTCAGGTCAGGCTGAGATGAGGGTGTCTAAAAGCGCCGGCTTGTCAGCATTCCAATGCGATGTTCGAAAAGTTCTGACTTTTCCACAATGAGCTCTTGGAATGCTGGAAATGGGCACCTCTCAAGACTGGGCATCCCCTGGCTGTTTTCTCGAATCAAAAGAATGAAGACCTTGATATATTTCTTTCAATACTTTTCAGGCATCCCCAATCTTTTGAGAGTCACCCATTGCTACGGCCATGGCATCGGATCATCGCATCTCTAAAATAGTTCGGGCACTAAAAACGCCATCACGACTTGGCGGACTGCACGGCATAGTCGGACCACACCTCGGTGATCTTTTCACCATGGGAAAGTCATCTCCAACTTGGAGGATGTTCCGCCATGGCACTTGAAAACCTGCTGAAACGTTCTGGAATAGGAAATCATCTACAAAATGTTGATTATTTCCTATTGATGGTTTATTGATGAATACATATCCATGTTGTTTATGGAAATCTGGGATGTTTATTATTGTTTATTGATAGCACATCCGGCACATCCCAAAGCTGATTGGCAAGCGGTGGGATTCCCCAACTGCTTGGGAGAAAAACCTTGGGTGGGCACTGCCAGGATCAGCTGCAGCACTACCTGGGTGTTTCAGGTTCGATGCAGATGTGGATTTATGGATTTGATCAGATCATGGTTTGGTACCTTTGACATCAGGCAGCAAGGGGCAGCAAGTTCGATGTTTCATACTCAACTTTGAAAGATGGGAAAGGGGATTTTTTTGCAGTTGCAATAATGGAAGGCACCAACTGATGGTCAGTAAGATTCAAGAAGTCAAGGAATTGAGTCCCTGGCCAGCATGATGAGCAGCCTGTTCAAGCTTTCGATCATGTCATGTCATGCGGTTAGTAAACTCTTAGTAGCCCCTTGGCTCCAAACCTTTACCCTCTGGTAAACTAACATAACTATGGAAAATTGCCAATTTTTGATGGGAAAACTCACTATAAATGGTCATTGTCTATAGCTATGTTAAATTACCAGAGGGTATTTTTCATAGGGAATATGGATAGCCATAGCTCCAAACCGCTCCCCCCATTCACGACTGGAATCCACAACGGGAACCAGGCCTTGCCCACATCCAGGTATTCGATCGATCCACAGACACCTGCCACGTTACGTTGGGCACAGGGCATCTCAACTTAAGCTGGTGAATTATGGCAGAAAATTCCATCAGATCCCCCCTTTATAATCAAAATACAGTCAGCTTAATACAGCTGAATACCGCTTAATCTAATCCATCTAGTTTCGACCATGCCTGCATTTGGTCCCTCCATTATAGCAACCCCAAAATCGATGCCGAAAAGTTACGGGAACCTGGAAAATATGGGGAAAAACATCATCGACAAACCATCCTGGAAACACTGTTCCTATCATATTCCCCATAGATTCCCCATCGTTTACCATATATATATATATATACACCACCATAATCCATCATAATCCATCATAATCCATCATTATCCATCATAATCCATCATAATCCATCATAAATCGCTACTTTTGGGGGGGCTTACGGCTTAACCACTTCCAGGAACCCCAACACCCCAACCAGCACCTGTGTGGGCCTGTGCTTTCGCACCGCGGCACCTGGAAAGGCGAGTGCTGTGGCTGGGAATGGCAACAGAAGATCCCCCGGGTTTTTTTCTACGGGAAATCAATGGAAATCATCTACTTAAGGTGAGGAACATTGAGGAACTGCATTTTGTTTAAAAGATCTGATCAGTGGCAGATGTTTTTTGTCTTGCCATGATTGACAGAGGGGAGCAGGAAGATGACGTCCTTGAGAAAATGGGTCGTGAGCAAGTCGTGAAGCAGAATCTTGTAAAAGAAAAAGAAAAACGGAGAAAGGAGCGGAAGAGGCCGTTGCCCAAAGGATCCCAAAGCTTCCTGTTGGACCGAAGAGGTGAACACCTGAGTCTGTTCACCTCAGAAATGTTTCTCTGAACATTTAAGTTCAACGTCCATCATCTCACCTTATTGAGAAGCTATCTACACACAGCGTAGGAAATACTCTAGAAAGCCACTTGGCATTCTGGCGGAAAGGGTGTGGCAAGTCTAATGAACCATTGCATGAATACGGGAACAACATGGAACACTCCCATGTTGTCAGAGCAATTTTTACAATGAGGTGAACATGTGTTTAAAAGTTACATCATTTGCAAACCCATTCCTGTAACCCTGGTAAACAGTGTAAATCATCTACCCAACAAGCCTGGCTTTCCTACAACGCTTCCGGCCTCCATCTTCCTTCTTCCGGCTTTCCGTGGCTGGACGCCTGCGTCGCCTTGAGATGTTCTGGAAAGATCCACCATGTTTAATGGGTAAATCAACGAACTAAATGGCCATGTTCAATAGCTATGTTATATGTTTGTTTACCGGAGGGTATACCGAATCGATGGCTGATCTCGCCATCTGAGGGCACCACGTCTCTTCAACTCTCTTTGGCAAGGCGTCGCTCAGAATATCCTTCTCTGGGAGAATGCAGAATGAAATTGCAAAGAACATGATAAATGTCTCCCCACATATAAGGAAATATGGATCTTTGGACACTCCCCCAACATCGGCTTGCATGCTCAATTTTTGCTTTAAAAAATTGATGGTTTAGAGTTCAGACTGAAAATGCCTTTCAACAAAATTGCACAAAAGTCTCCAGATTCTTCTGGACATTCAAGAAATCTTCCATGTTGACCCACCGGCGCTCTCCAGTCCTGGTCAACGTCATCCAAGCTTTTAGTCGTGCAGGATGAGGGTCTGGAGGGCTTCAGCAGTGGAGGATCCTTCAGTACCTCAGCTGTCCCTTGAACTTGGAGCCCTGAAACAGCAGGGGAAATGGAACAAATAAAGGAACAAAAACCATGGGCCGAAGAATTTCCAGTGTGGATGTACTCACTTTGAAACTCAAACTCCAAGATGACCAAAGCCGAGTCTCATACAAAAAAAAACATTAAACATATTGAATCACTATATATATACTATACAGTAGCTCATCCGGTGTAGGCTGTTGCCCCCAGGGCTGCTGACAGTATTCTCCTCCAAGCGCATCAGCTTGCGCCTGGGCGCGGCGCTCGGATGGGTAGACTGGGTACCCGCGGACTACGAAAAACCAACGAATTAGTGTGGAAAAATGATGAAACTTGACTAGCATTGACTATGGATATCTATGGATATCTATGGATATCTATGGATATCTATGGATATCTATGGATATCTATGGATATCTATGGATATCTATGGATATCTATGCATATCTATGGATATCTATGGATATCTATGGATATCTATGGATACCTATGGATACCTATGGATATCTATGGATATCTATGGATATCTATGGATATCTATGGATATCTATGGATATCTATGGATATCTATGGATATCTATGGATATCTATGGATATCTATGGATATCTATGGATATCTATGGATATCTATGGATATCTATGAACTATGACTACAGGGATGCGAATGGGAGGCCCTAGTTCATCCTCGGCACTCGGGCCATCGTTCCAGGCGGTCTTTGTCACCAGCGGCAAGGCACGCCCCTGGAAGACATAACTTAAAGTGTGGTGACAAAGCGACGTAGCAAACCCCCTCCCAGACGAGCAGACCAAAAGAATGCAGTTTGGGCGAAAAGTCATGGAATGCCATGGAGGATATGGAGGTTGTTCTCAATTTTTCTGGCCAAGCGTTCAACTTTTGTCCGGTTGGGTGTTCTTTCAAGCTGGGTGTTCTTTCAAGCTTGGGTCAAATGTTCCAAGGTTCCCTCCACCCCAGCGATCTGTCCCAGATCCGGTCACGACGCCTGCCACCGTGTTGTAAGTGACCTGAGGCGATCACAGGAGTGGTTGACCTCGGGGAGATGACTAACATGGAGCATCCTGTGATGACGAACAGTGCGCCATGGTTTTTCGATGGCCCATAGAAATAGATGGTTTACCGTTCTTAATAGCATGGTGATTTTCCATGGCAAACTGTTAAATAACCAGATGGTAAATTCAACAGCGGAACCCATGATGGCTATGGCTACATCGTGCTACATCCAGCAGAAAATCATCAAAGCCCAAAGCCAATTGAATTGGAGAGGTCCAATATCAAATAATCAGGGTTGCATCTGCAGAAAACATTGAGAATTTCATTCAACATGAATTCACCCTCCAAAAAAATTAGAAATCAGTTTTTTTCTGAGGATAGGGTAATTACCCCCAAAATCCCATAAAATCCCATGGTTAAAAAAAAAGAAAACATGGTTTCATCCACCTTTTCCCTCTCAAAAGTGGCCCGTCCTCACCTCATTGGCCTGCAGACCCGCAGCTGCCATGCGTTCCAACCAATATCCGGCCAGATCCAACTCACCCTGGCGCGATGGCGATGGCGGTGCTTGGAACTTCTATCTGTTTCTGAAGGAGTTCTGGCGATGTGTTATCTCTGGGTTTTAATGTTGAAATATTTATCTTTATTGTTGAAACATCAGACCTCCACTGAGTGTTTTTCACTGAAAAAAGGAGTTCCAACTGGGCCCGCCTTCTGCACGCACGCCTTGATGACACTGCTGTAGCCTCGGCAGACTCGGCAGAGCCAGACATTTTCAAGTCAGTGGACTGGTTTAGAGGAAATGTTTACAATAAACCATGGATTTTACTATTTTACCATGACATATTGTTAGGTTCCTGTAGATTCTTCATCAAACCAATTCTGGTAGAAACATCGGTGGAACCCCAAGATGTTGCAGATCAAAGCTATACTGCCTATAATTTCTCGAAAAACCCTTGATATGCTTGATCCATGGCCGACGAAACCCCAAGGGTCCAGCTGACTTCATCAGCTTGAATGCCCTCACTGAGCATCTTCTCCTCAGAAGACATGATCGGTAGGAAAATCCCTTTCTAGACACACATACATAGATATCCATAGCCATATCCATCTGCATGTGTATGTGTGCATTCATATCTGCATAGGTATATGGTGGTTGCCACAATTGTAGAACGAAAGTTGAGGAGTACGAAGGTACGGTTATTTACCGTACAAGTACCCTGTTTTTCTATAATTCCGTTTTCCTCAGAAGGTATGAAAAAAAAATACCTCAATTTACTCCTATTTTTGTTCGTCGTTCTATGATTCTTGTTTGTTCTATAATTGCGTTTTCCCCCATATTTCTCATACCAATTCTGTTCTATAATTAATTTTTGTGTTCTATAAATTAATTTTGCGGAAAGTCCGTTCTGTAATTCTGGTTTCTATGTCACTTTTTTCCGGGGTCCCAGAAAGATGCAGAAAATGAGGATGTGTGTAATTATGTATATATACAGATACGCAATAGATATCATATCGTGGCCAAAAATTAATTATAGAACGGAAGTTGAGGAGTACGGATTAATTATAGAACAGCCAGAAAATTAATTATAGAACAGGATCCGAATTTCCCCCGAATCGAGATCCGGAGGAGTAAGAAGGTACGGTATTTTACAGTACTTTTGTACGCCTAATTCTGTTCTATAATTTTGGCACCTCCTGTATGCATGCTGCACATTAAAAAAAAAAAAACTCTATGACTCTATTTACATACCAATATATATATATATCTGTATACTGTATAATATATGTATGTATATACATATATATATATATATTAGATTATATTACGTTACATTATGTTAGATTATATTATATTATTTTATATTATATTACATTAAATTGCTATATTATATTATATTATTTTATTTTATTTTATATTATATTATATCATATTATAGTATATTATATTATATTATGTTATATTATATTATATTATATTAAATTATATTATATCATATTTTATTTTATTTGATTATATTATAATGTATTATATTATATTATTATATATTATATTATATTATATTTTATGTTATTTTATTATACTATACTATACTATATTGTATTATATTATATTATATTAAATTATATTATATTAAATTGTATTATATTATATTATATTATATTAAATTGCTAAATTATATTAGATCATATTATATTATATTAAATTATATCATATTATATGATGTTATTATATATTATATTATATTATATTATATTATATTATATTATATTATGTTATATTTTATTTTATTATACTATACTATACTATATTGTATTCTATTATATTATATTATTTTATTTTATTTTATATATGTATGTTTATTTATACATACAGATATAGATATAAGCACCCGCAAAGTAGTGGCAGTGTCACCAGCAACCATGGGTGCACACCTGTCGCAATCCACATGGAGCAGCTGCACTGGGAGCCTCACCAACCAAGTCTCTGCGCGCTCGATGTCTCTCCGTTGTGCGCAAGCCTCGGAATTTGATTTCGACAATTTAGGCATCCCTTGGGCGAAGCAAGCAGCAGCAGCAGCAGCACCACCATCATCATCATCATCATCATCACCATCTTCAATGTCAAGACCTCCTCTTTCTCATCCTTCAAAGGTTGGAATCTCAACTGCATGTTCACCATGTTCTAGCGTCTAGATCAAATATGAAACTGGGGTGTTTGCAGCTTTTCATGCTTCATCATATTGGCCAGAGAACTGCTGTCAAAAGGAAAGACAAATCGCAGATTTAGAAACCATTGCCAAAAGTCTATGGAAGCCTCCTGCAGTAAGTCTATCATAGTCGGAAAACTCAATTCGTAGCTCCTTGGCTCCCCATGATTAATTGGGAACATGCAAACAACCATAGCTCCAAATCGCTTCCTCCGTCTACCATTGCATCGAAAGTCCAATCAGTTTCACGGCCAATCCCTGTGCTGTTGCTGGGCTGCCAAACATTAATGACGCTGTTGTAGCTGAAGGCATCTGTCTTCACTCCAGCAGCAAGCATTTTTTCCAGCCACATCTCCTTAGCACGTCCAGGAACGTCCAGGAAGGAGGATATAATCATGAATACATCACCTGAGAAGGGGGGAACGAAAGCCAGCATCCCATCTACCCCTATTTTCCCCCAATGATTTTTCACCCACAGACTTTTCCCCCACATACTTTTCACCCAGAGACTCTTCACCCAGAAACCCTTCTTGCACATACTTTTCACCCAGAGACTCTTCACCCAGAAACTCTTCACCAAGAAACTCTTCTTGCACATACTTTTCACCCAGAGACTCTTCACCCAGAAACTCTTCTTGCACAGACTTTTCACCCAGAGACTCTTATTCAGAAACTCTTCTTGCTCACACTTTTCACCGATATACTTTTCACCCAGAGACTCTTCCCCAGAAACTCTTCTTGCACGTACTTTTAACCCATATACTTTTCACCCAGGGGCTCTTCACCCAGAAACCCTTCTTGCACAGACTTTTCGCCCATATACTTTTCACCCAGGGACTCTTCACCCAGAAACTCTTCACCCAGAAACTCTCCTTGCACATACTTTTCACCTATATACTTTTCACCCAGAGACTCTTCACCCAGAAACTCTTCTTGCACATACTTTTCACCCATATACTTTTCACCCAGAGACTCTTCACCCAGAAACTCTTCTTGCACATACTTTACCCATACCTTTCACCCAGAGACTCTTCACCCAAAAACTCTTCTTGCACAGACTTTTCACCCATAGACTCTTCACCCAGAACTCTCACCCAGAAACTCTTTTTGCACATACTTTTCACCCAGAGACTTTCACCCAGAGACTCTTCACCCAGAAACTCTTCTTGCACATATACTTTTCACCCAGAGACTCTTCACCCAGAAACTCTTCTTGCACATACTTTTCACCCATATACTTTTCACCCAGAGACTCTTCACCCAGAAACTCTTCTTGCACGTACTTTTTACCCATATAATTTTCACCCAGAGACTCTTCACCCAGAATCTCTTCTTGCACAGGCTTTTCACCCATATACTTTTTACTCAGAAACTCTTCACCCAGAAACTCTTCTTGCACATACTTGTCACCCATATACCTTTCACCCAGAGACTCTTCACCCAGAGACTCTTCTTGCACATACTTTTCACCCAGGGACTCTTCACCCAGAAACTCTTCTTGCACAGGCTTTTCACCCATACACTCTTCACCCAGAAACTCTTCCCCAGAAACTCTTCTTGCACGTACTTTTTACCCATATACTTTTCACCCAGAGACTCTTCACCCAGAAAATCTTCTTGCACATACTTTTCACTCATTTACTTTTCACCCACAGACGGATCAACCATATATTTCTCACCCACAGACTTTTCCCCCATATGCCTTTCACCCATAAACTTTTCACCCAGGGACTCTTCATCCAGAAAATCTTCTTGCACATACTTTTCACCCAGAGACTCTTCACCCAAAAACTCTTCTTGCAGATACTTTTCACCCAGAAATTCTTCACCCAGAAACTCTTCTTGCACATACTTTTCACCCAAGGACTCTTCACCCAGAAACTCTTCTTGCAGATACTTTTCACCCATATACTTTTCACCCAGGGACTCTTCACCCAGAAACTCTTCTTGCACAGACTTTTCACCCAGAGACTCTTCACCCAGAAACTCTTCTTGCACAGACTTTTCACCAGAATCTCTTCACCCAGAAACTCTTCTTGGACCTACTTTTCACCCATATACTTTTCACCCAGAGACTCTTCACCCAGAAACTCTTCTTGCACATACTTTTCACCCATATACTTTTCACCCAGAGACTCTTCACCCAGAAACTCTTCTTGCACATACTTTTCACCCAGAGACTCTTCACCCAGAAACTCTTCTTGCACATACTTTTCACCCATATACTTTTCACCCAGAGACTCTTCACCCAGAAACTCTTCTTGCACATACTTTTCACCCATATACTTTTCACCCAGAGACTCTTCACCCAGAAACTCTTCTTGCACATACTTTTCACCCATATACTTTTCACCCAGAGACTCTTCACCTAGAAACTCTTCTTGCACATATTTTTCACCCATATACTTTTCACCCAGAGACTCTTCTTGCACATACTTTTCACCCATATACTTTTCACCCAGAGACTCTTCACCCCGAAACTCTTCTTGCACATACTTTTCACCCATATACTTTTCACATCTTTTCACCCAGAGACTCTTCACCCAGAAACTCTTCTTGCACAGACTTTTCACCCAGAGACTCTTCACCCAGAAACTCTTCTTGCACATACTTTTCACCCATATACTTTTCACCACGGGCCTCTTCACCCAGAAACTCTTCTTGCACATAATTTTGACCCAGGAACTCTTCTTGCACAGGCTTTTCGCCCAGAAATTCTTCTTGCATATACTTTTCACCCATATTTTTTTCATTCAGAGACTCTTCACCCAGAAACTCTTCTCGCACATACTTTTCACCCATATACTTTTCACCCAGAGACTCTTCACCCAGAAAATCTTCTTGCACATACTTTTCACTCATTTACTTTTCACCCACAGACGGATCAACCATATATTTCTCACCCACAGACTTTTCCCCCATATGCCTTTCACCCATAAACTTTTCACCCAGAGACTCTTCACCCAGAAAATCTTCTTGCACAGACTTTTCACCCAGGGACTCTTCACCCAGAAACTCTTCTTGCACATACTTTTCACCCATATACTTCTCACCCAAAGACGGATCAACCATATACTTCTCACCCACAGACTTTTCCCATATATACTTTTCACCCATATACTTTTCACCCAGAGCCCCCCCCAGACCCCCTATTTTCACTTCGTTCGCAAACAACAACTGGCCAGCTTCCCGGCCGGCTTTCGTAAAAATATATATATAAATATATATACATATATATATATATATAAGCGAACCCGGCCTGAATTGTCAGGAATGCTCTACATTCTGCTTCACAGGCCATTATGTACCTCCTCCACGGTACTTTTGGTGGTTAATTTTTGTGACAGCTGCTATGTCTACGCCTTCAAACCTCGCATTATGCGCTAGCCCTCCTTCCTCCTTCACACAAACACCTTCCCATCTGACATCACAGTGCCCGACAAAGACCCTCGAGCCGGGCGACTTTTGTCCTTCCTCCACCAACATCGACAGCAGTGGCAAAAGGGGCCTTTACCCTTACCTTTCCTATCTGTGCTAGCACTCCTTCCCCCTTCTCGCAGACATCGGCTCCTCTGCCAAGCACCCCAAAAGGCTCCCCAAAATGCGGACCTAGGGGGAATCGATACCCTACCGTCACCCTTTTGCCGCATGGTACATGACCCGGAAAAACGCTCCCAAAACACACCCTTCCCCCCAAGTAATAGCGAGATTTTGGCCCACTTGGGCAAGCCCTCCCCCCAGACCCCCTTATACTCACTTTGTTCGCAGACAGCAACGATCCAGCTAGCTGGCTTTCGTAAAATGATATTATATAATATTATATAAATGATCTCTGACTATAGCAACCCGGCATGGCCACTCTGCCACTATTTTAGCCTCTGACTATTCTGCATCGAGTCGCACCCTCTGGATCGCCGTCGAGGCACCGCTCTGCTGACGCGGCCCTTTTGCGCGCAAGCATTGATGACGCTGTTATAGCTCACCTCACCATGGGGATCATAGGACCCTGATGCTGAGCTGGCAAATGGGAAAACTAAAACCAAATGCCCGGTTTTGTGTTGGTGATTTTGGAGAGAACATGATGCGTCACCAGGGGATTTGGGGGTACTCTATTGTTTGACAAATCCGAATGGGTGTTCATTCCCAAAATCATCTCGGTGTGCTCTGGAAAAGGGTTTATAGGACCATCCACGTTGACCTATCGCCTCATTCAGTAGCTTAGATCCCCATAAATCCCATTTTGGTGAGTCAAATCCCCACCGCCAGCTTGAAGCTCGAATGCGGGATCAATCTTGGTGCCTCATTCGCTTGCACGCCAGCTTCAAGCATCCGGCCAAGCCTCGAGTCAGATGGATCTGATGCTGAGAAACAGTGAGATGGTGCCTTATTCCCCTGAAACATTTTGATCAACTTTCCACTTTCCAGTTGAGGGCCGCAGTCCGCTTTGCAAGAAATCCAGGCGTGCTTCCAACAAAAAACTATGTATACTTCTCGGCTTGACCATCTCCAACATCCTTGCGTTAGACCGTTAGACACACTCAGTGTCCTTCGAAAAATATTGATCAATTGATCAACTGGGATCATTATCGCAAGCTTCGGCATACATAGATCTTCATAGATGTTCTATCAACAGGCAAAAGAAACACCTCCAACCTAGTCCGCCGCTGAAAAAAGCCATCAGAATTTCCGACCACATCCTGCCTTCATCACCAGTGCATCACGGCTGGACCCCCCGGGCTCCCCAACCACATCTCCGCGCGCTCGACGTATCCCGTCTGGGCGCAGGCATTGATAACGCTGTTGTAACTGACCTGCCGTCGCTGCCACAAACGGCCAGGCGGCCGCTGAAGCGAAATGCTAGAACTGGCAGCTGCAAATGTTCACAAAACACTACGCATCTTGATTCGAGCATACGGATTTACAATGCAAATATGGAGATAGATCAAGACCCTGGCACCTTGATGAAGATCAAAATAGATGTAAATGGATGTTCGTGCCACCAACTGTGGCACAGGTTTTGATCCATCCCCGAACATATTATATTTTTTGGCCGTGCGAAATATTGGTCAGGTGTCGTCTGTGACCATCCAAGCACTGCTTGCGCCTATCGGATCGGCCTGTACACTGTGTGGATTTGACGTGCGTGGTGGGCTTGGCATTTCGGAACTTTCCCCTCCAAGCCAAGTGACTTGCAAAAGTCGTTGCAAACATGGTGGGAAAACCACGTCTTCTGCCCCTCCTCTCCAAGATCAGCAGGTCCATAAGATCCAGAGACCTTGCTCAAGACTGCGGGGTCAGAAAATGCGTAGTAGTTGCTGCTCCCATCAGTTGTCTTGATGCCACCTGGCAAGCCCCTATGACCCTGGAGGTCACAAATCAAATGCTTGCCGTTGCTCTCAACCCAGGTCCAGCGGCTGAAAGCTCCAGGAAGATTGCCTTCACCAGATGACCAACCGGTGTTGGAGTTGAACTTCTTGAACTCACCGTAAATGGGAATTTCCACCATCATCAATTCATCCTCCAAAATCTTTCTTACCGTTCCATCCAACTGATCCTTTGAGCTTGAAATGAGGGTTCCAATACGAAAGAACAAGTCAAGCGGTTCTTTGCCTCTCACTGGCCGATGTTTCTCATTGAAGGCTTTTGCATATTGCTGCGCCAGCTTTTGTGCCGCAACATCCTTCTCTGTGATACGAACTCCGGAATTGTATTTTTTGGTCTTGATGAATTTCAAGACCAACTTCTCTCCAGGATTGAACCCATAGAAATCTCCTGTTCCCTTTACCTTGGCCATGTAAGCCTCCTTGAATGATCCTTCTCCAAGCTTGTCCCCCCATTTCCAGGTCAGTGAGGCTTGTCGAGCAATCCTAGCTCTTCGCGGTGTTTTGGCCGCACCAATCCATGCCCGTGAGTGGCGCATGAAACCCATGGTCCTGGACAGCCTCTCTCGCTGGCTAGGAAAACGAGGAAGAGCAGCGGCAGCTAGGCTGTTTGCTTGAGCCAATGTCATTATCAAAATGATCCAGCAATGACATCCTCATTTCCCGATGCAGCTTCCCTACATGCGTTTGCGAACAAATATTGGTGGTTTACCCGAAAAAATACCAGTTGGAAAATGATGATCAACCACTTTGTTTGCCACAAAAGATAGAATGTATACCGAGTTTTCAAAGTTGTTTTCCCTCTTTTTTGGACAGACCCCACATGACCAAAACATGACCAGTTCACCATCAGCTAGCTTCCGATCCACCTCGTTGGGCTTCAGATCGTTGTCCTGCATCCAAATGAGCCATTCCTCCGCCTTCTGAGGTCTCCTGGAACCAGCTTGGCTTCCCGGGGGTCATGTCATAGGAACCCCCAAGAAAGGATAGAAAGTGGGGTAAACTATCATTGTCCGATCTTTTTGGGGTTACTACAACCCAGTCACTTGGTTTTGGTTCTAAGATGTCTATTCGTCCAGTTCTGTTTCAAACTGCTCAAGGCTAAACATCGAACTATGACCAGTACGTGTCATCATCCATTCTTGGGGATGGAAAAAGGACTCGACATCTAATAGCAAATCATAGTAAAAGTAACAACAGTAATGATAGCAAGAACGGCAATAATAATAGTGATAACCATAACAATCCTAACAATAATATTAATGATAAATGTATTTTATGTATATCTAAATATGTGTGTATATATATAACTATATATACTTAAATATATATGCAGTAAATATATATGTGTAAAAGTATATATCTAAACCATCAACCAACCAAGTCCCTCGCAAATGGACATTACTTTGCCTGGCTTTTGCAAAAACATTGATCGCCGCATTGAGGTGAATCCGGTTGGGCCTCGGCCGTCGTAGATCAGTGGCCCACGTCACTGTTGGTTTCAAGCGCTGGACCCACAAAGTGATGAACTTTCAAAGCATTTTTGTGGAATCCAAAGAATTTCCAGACAAATCTCCAGCTTGTGGCTAGTTTCTGATGAATCGAGAAATTTCCACATGCAAATGATTTTGAGGATAAAGTACACCTCCATTTGAACCACTGAGGTCTTAGCTTGATGTTCCGTGCCGACATTTCGGCAAAGACCGCATCAACATCCCACCTTTTCGCGGTCACCAATGCGATGTGATTTTGATGGCGCAACATGATAAACCACTGGATTGTGGAGGGGGTTCCTGAATTTTCAGATAAACCCAGATATCATATTGTTAACCCTAATGTATCCCATGATGTTCCCATGGAATCCCTTGTCAAATACCCCATGTTTGTTGGCTAACCAGCCACCGAAGCTAACCAACGGTCGCTCCCCGGTGCACCAGCGACGCTCACGAGCTAACTTGGCCAGAATGGAGGTGAAGACCCCGGGGCCTGAGGAACCGATGGCTGGTGATCTTTAGCATTCTTATGGTGGTTTCCAAAAGATGTGGGTTTCCAAAAATGGTTGGTTGATAATGGAAAATCCAATTAAAATGGATGATTTGGGGGTAGCCATAGTTCAGGAAAATTTACCCTCTGGTTATTTAACATAGCTAGGGACAATTGCCCATTTACTGATTTTCCCATTAAAACCTCCATTTATAATGGATTTTCCATAGCTATGTTAAATAACCAGATGGTAAAATGTACTAAAATGCATGTTGCCGTTTTGGTGGTTGAATTAAGGTTGGTAGTAATAAACTGACTCTCCGGAAGGAGTCAAGAGTGAAGAGAATGGACTACGAAGGGAGAGAGGCAAAAGAGGGGTTCAGCCCAAAGGTTTTGCAGGATGCATCAGATTTGAAACACATCTAATAATTAATAACCACTCTATGCTTCTGATTCTACCGTTGGTGGCAAGGCGCTTGCATGGTGCGTGGCGAACTCAGATTGACTTCCCCCGGATCGCACCTGAATTCCTGGGCATCGAAGCTAAGGAGTGTGGAAAGCGCACCTGAACGGTCGGGTGCCACGACCCAAGGCATTTGTCGCATTTCTCCAACTCATCGGAATTTGAAATCAAGGACTTGGTGCCCCTGCATCCTCTTCACGACGCTCTTTGTCTTGCCTGGTGCGCTGATTGGATCCAAGCATCAAATCTGTGGCAAATCCACATACATATACATAAATCATCAATAATTAATCCGAATGGATGACCTGGCCATCTTCACAAAATCTTGCCGCACTCCCACGACCTCCTTTCCAACGGGCCATCAAACCAACACCCCGCAGCATGATTTTCTGCCACCTTGCCTGGTCTCCCGTTTGCTTCCATCCTCTGGCACATCAATGCCAGAGTCCAAATTCAACACCATTGAGGCTGTTAGCCTGACAGCGATCATGGGATCATTTCATCTCAGGTTCTAACCATTGGTGGCTCAACAGCCACCAACTCCCCGCTTGCCTCTGCACATCAGCTTCCCTTGGCTGAAAAAAAACTCTGAGTATGGACGAAAGGGACGAAGTCAGCCGATGTTCATGGGGGGTAACACACGGGAAAGAGCTGGGCAACAAAATGTGTTGGCATTTGGTCCTTACACGTAAGAAAATACAAGAAAATAAAAAATTAGCTTCGGTGGTAACCCCAACAGCCACAACGTTTTACTTTCTGAAGCGTGCTGCCAAGCCAAGCGCTGGAACCTTCTCCGGAACCCTGTTGAACCTGACCTGGCTGCACAGACCTTCTCCGGAGACTTTTCCAGACCCTGTTGAACCTGACCAAGCCTCCCGGAACCTTCTCCAGAACCTTCTTTGGAACCCTGTTGAACCTGACCTGGCTCTGCACCAAAGCCTGCCCGACCTCCGGAACCTTCTTCGGAATCCTGTTGAACTTGACCTGGCTTTGCATCAAAGCCTCCCAGACCTTCTCCGGAACCTTCTTCGGAACCCTGTTGAACCTGACCTGGCTCTGCACCAAAGCCTCCCCGACCTCCGGCACCAAAGCCTCCCCGACCTCCGGAACCTTCTCCGGAACCTTCTCCGCAACCTCCGGAACCTCGTTGAACCTGACCCGGCGCCTGCACCAGTGCACACCGGAGCTATTCTGGGCTGAAGACCCCATTAGCTTACGCTGCTGGGGAAAAAACATAAGCCCAAAGAGTATCCCCAACAGCCAGAAACAAAAACAGTTGCCAAACACGCAATGAGTGAAGTATGTTTATTGCCCCGCCCTTCTTACTCTAGAGGTCGGGCGTACAAGGCGCAATCACAGCACAAACACTTTATGAAAAACCGTTTTTCCAAAAGCGTTCGCAATACCTGTGGCCAAAATTCCCGAAGCTCGTGCGAAGGTTTTTTCCCAAAGAACTTCTGTCCGCCCCTCTCTTCACTTCATCTACCTAACATACATCATCCACATCTCTTATGTCCTTTACATCACCTACATCTTCTATACCGTCTTCTACACCATCTTCTCTAGATCTACATCTACATCTACACCATCATCATCATTACCACCATCATCATCATCATCGTCATCACCTACATCTGTCTCACCTACATTATCTACACCACCTACACATTTTCCATCAACCCCATCTATATGACATGCTTTATCTACAATACATACATTTCCTACATCATCATCTACATCACTACATCCTCTACATCACCCACATCACCTACATCTTCTGCACGATCTTCCCTACATCATCATGATTATCATCACCATCACCACCACCATCATCATCATCACCATCATCTATCTCACCTACACCATCTACATCACCTACACAATCTTTTTCCATCAACCTCATCTACATGATATACATCACCTACAGCGCATACATAACCTATATCATCATCTACATCACTGCATCCTATACATCACCTACATCTTCAAATCTATCTAACCTTACATCACTTACAACATCATCCTCATCATCTACAACATAGACAACATCACCTACATCAGCTACAGGTGATCAACTTCCAGGGAACTCCTACAAAACTTGAACAATGTCATTTACACAGGAGTTGACTTGCAGGTGATCCATTTCTACTTGAACTCCTACAAGACTCCTGCCGGCATGGTCATTTTGCACAGAAATTGTTGCACAGGAGTTGCTACACAGGGGTTCAGCTAACTTCCAGGTGATCAAATTGTATCTGAACTCCTGCAAAATCATCCAGTTCTTCTATTTCTCTCTGGTGGCAGGGACAGCCAGGCCGTGGCTTACGAATCGTTACCCTCTGCGGCGTGTCGGACACCCAAACGTGTTGCGAAATGCGGGTCTTGTTTGTCCTTGGGCAACCCTCTGCGGAGATGGCGCGTGTCGGATGGGCAAACATGTGGTGTGGTGAAATGCGAAACTTCTTTGCCCGCAGCAGCCGTCTGCAGAGATCGTGCGTTTCGAACGCCTAAACATGTGGTGGAATGTGAATTTCTTTTGGGCACGGGCAACCGTCTTCAGAGATCGCGCAGGTCGGACAGCCAAACATGTGGCAAAATGCAAATTTGGTGAGGCCCGGCACAGCCCCTTCGCACGAAATGAGGGTCAACCGTCAAAAACTGTTGTAAAATTGTGATTTTGAAAGTTCAGATGCAAGCGTGGCACGAAAGTCAAACGGCAATAACTGTGGGAGAACTGCGATTTTTTAACGTCAGATGCCAACGTTCAAGAATTGGTGTAAAATTGCGACTTTATCCATTTTGAAACGTCAGTCAGGCACAACCGTTTCGCGCGAAATAAAACTTGTGTAAAATTGCGATTTTACAAGGACGTGTTTAAAGTTTCTGCGCGTATAAGATTGTAAAAGCTGCTCTGTGCAAAGGCCTCTCTCTGTGCTCTGTGTAAACCCTGCTCTGTGAACAAGCTTC